CTTAAAAAGTACAAAAAAAAAAAAAAAAAAACTAAAAATAGAGATTGCAATAGAGAAAAAGAAGAGGTTAGCAAAAGAAAGAGAGAAATGAATGATAGGACCAAGTTAGGTCATTTTGGCTTTTAGTTTCTATATTTATTGTGGATAGATGAAAAGGGTAAAATTGAAAGAAAGAAGGTGAATGCAACATTGAAATCTTAAAATGTAAGATAATTAAGAACAAATTTTAGCCGCTAAAATGACTAAGATTTAGGAACAGATGGAGTAACAACAAGCAGCTAAATTAATTACTCATTTTTGTTTTCATAATTTTTTAATAAAAAATTATTATACAATTTAAATTGTGATAGTTGAATGAGAAACGACTTCTTAATATTAAAATTGTTCTTTTATTTAATTAATTAATTTTATAATTTCGTGTAAATAAAATTAAAAAAACAAATATATCATTTTCTAGACTCAAATTCACTCTTAGATATAACCCTTAACATAGGAAGATAAGATAAATCAAAATCAGACTATTGTTCTAAGGAATAGGTCCAATAGGACAACAATGCCACAGCAACAAAATCAGCACCACAGCGGTCCAAATGGCCAGGAACAACCACAAGTGGTGGCGGTAATGGTCCCATTTCCGGCCCAAGGCCACCTAAACCAGCTACTCCAACTCTCCCGCCTCCTCCTTTGCCACCACATCCCTGTCCACTACGTTGGCACCGCCACCCACGTCCGCCAGGCCAAGCTTCGTGTCCACAGCTGGGACCCCCTAGCCACCGCCAACATCCATTTCCACAGCTTTGAAAACCCTCCATTTCTTTCCCCTCCTCCTGACTCCAATGCAACTATTAAATTCCCTCCCCATCTCCAGCCCGCCTTCGACGCCTCCCTGCACCTCCGTGCACCACTGGCCAAGATTTTTGCGCTTCCTTTCTGTTCAATCTAAGAGAGTTATGGTCACTCATGATTCTCTAATGGGGTATGTGATTCAAGATGTTTCTTTGATCCCAAATGCAGAATCCTACACTTTCCATAGTGTCTCTGCCTTCGCATATTTCCTTTACATATGGGAAAAACAGGGGAAACCAATAGAAGTAATTGAAGAGTTCCTTGAAGACGTTCCATCTGTTGAAGGATGCTTCTCTTCGGAGTTCTTGAATTTCCTTGACTTCCAACACCGGTACAAGAATTCCAACTCCGGATTGATATTCAGCACAAGCAAGATCATAGAAGGTACACGTGCAAAATCAAGGATTCAAATTTTACTTTGACTAGCATAAGGAGAAACACAATGTAGCTCACCCAAAAAAAAAAAAAGAGGACAAACACAATGTAGGGGTTATAAATCCTATTTCTAATTTTATTCATTCGATTCACTTGTTTCTTTTAGCACTAATTTGATTAAAGTCCTAGACGTAGAAAAAATGTTGGCTAAAATGGGTTCAAGTTAGATTATTACAACTCAAATAAATTAATTTAAATAAACTAGAAGTGAATAAGTATTATTTATCCCTTATTTTAAATAAATAAATTGAGTCAATGTAATATGTTAAGTCGTAATCCACTGATGAATCTTTTTAATTTTACTTTATATATTACTTTTTGTTTTAACTATGATTATTTGGCTAGATATTTCAATTTTTTGATGATATATATAAATTCAATGCCGAAGTTGTGAATACGCAACTTTCAACAGGTACTTCCATGGAGCTTCTTGAGCAAACGGTAACGGGGGAAAAGCATTGGACATCGGGGATATTTAATCCGGTTCAAATCAGGCCAGAGAAGACGCCTCAAATGTTCGGAGTTTCTGCTTGGAAGAATGGCTTGACAGGTAGGTGGTGAACTCCGTGATTTATGTGTCTTTGGGACAACCACCACCATGAGCAATGAACAGATCAAGGAGCTCGCAATGGGGTTGAAGCAAAGCGGCCAAAAATTCATCTGGGTATTGAGGTATGCAGATAAAGGAGATGTCTTTGCCGGAGAAGAATGCAGATGGCTGGATCTCCCAAAAGGGTTTGAAGATTCGGTGAAAGATGTGGGGCTGGTGGTAAGAGACTGGGCACCGCAGCTGGAAATTCTAGCTCATCCGGGTACTGCCGGGTTTGTGAGCCACTGCGGCTGGAATTCCTGCTTGGAGAGTATCACCATGGGAGTTCCGATTGGGGCGTGGCCTATTCACTCCGATCAACGAAGAAACACTGTGTTGATTACGACATTGCTCAAGGTTAGGATAGTTGTTAGGGATTGGGCGCGGCGAGATGAGGTAATGACGGCATCTGCCATTGATGTTGAGGTGGTGAGGTGAGGAGGAGAGCAGCTGAGCTTGGAGATGCGATGCGGTAGTCGATGGCGGAAGGTGGGGTTTCCCATAAAGAGTGGCATTCCTTCATTTCTCACATCAGTAGGTAGCTTTGCCTTGAATCAGTTATGACGCATGGGCCTTACTGATTCATTTTGAGTTGAAATGTCATAAGATTGCCAATTGTCAGTCCGAGAAAAAACATTATGAGACCAATTTATGTTGTTATTAATATGGGATGGTCTTCTTTTTCCCTTTCTTTTTTTTAATTTATTTCAAGCTCTAAACTAAAAAAATTTTAATTCTAAATTTTTAATTTTTAATCACTTCTTTCGAGCGGCATTGTGAGTTAGTAAATAATTGAAAGCATCTCCCTCGTTCCATTAAACAATGTATTTTGCATTCTTTTTTTTTTCTTTCTTTTTTTAATTTTTTCATTTTCAAATTAGAAGAAAATTATATTCAAACCAATCAAGAGCCGAGTGCTAGCTCATTAGCATTTCTCTTACTAGCAAATGCTCGATCTAATTGGTGTTTATAAATTTAAAATTCTTGAATTGAGATCAAAATCATGAATTTAAATATTATAAAACCAAATAACTAACTTTTGAACTTATATGTATTAGAAAAAAATTTCCATATTCTTTTTCTAATAACTTATAGGAATTTAAAGGAATTAAAACATATTAACAATTAAAATGCTATGAATAATAATGAAAAGATTTAAATATTGTTAATGAATCAATATATAAAGAAAATTCATCAAAAATAGAGAAAAGAAAAAATTAACTTGTCTTAGTATTAAAAATGTCTAAATATCTAATTATAACCATTAAATGTCTGAGATATAATGTGAGTTTTAATTTTATTAAATTCATTATACAACTATTATTAGATATTTTGAGATTTTTAATATTAAAAAGTTTTGATTTTTCCTCTTCCCTCAAAAATAGTTAAATAATTTTACAAATAATTTTAACATTTTAAAAATTAGAATATTCTAATTTTCATTTTTTTCTCTAACTAATATATTTATATGAAAAACGAAAATCAAAGTGCATCGAACACTTTAAATGCAAGATTTTCGTATAAAATTATTCAAATATTCTTACATTAATTTTAATATTTTAATTATTAAGACATCTTAATTTTTCACAATCCCTATGTTTATTTATAATCTTAATAATTAGTAGTATATTTATTTCTAATAAATAAAAAAATTATCTCTAATTAATGTTTTAATTTTTACTTTTCTTTGACAAATGTAGTTATGTGAAAAGTAATAATTAAAATGTTTTGACACTTTAAATACAAAAACTTCTTATAAAATTATTTAAATACTCTTATATTATCAATCATGATATTTTAATCAATAAGACATCTAAATAGTATTGCATTTATTTCTAAAAAACAAAAAATTATCTCTAATTATACAATATAATCCATGATTTACCACTTGTTTGAGGAGTTGCTAGGCCTCCGTTCATTCATCTTGGTGCTTAAATACTATTCTATATACTTACAATTAAAAATATGTATATCCTCAGAACTAGTCAATTAGACATCCCATACATGTAAGTGTCTCCTATGGTTATTCAAGAAAGTAGAAACCATTAAAAACCCCGAGAGATTCAAGTTTTTCAATTTGTACATTAAAAGTACGGTCAGTTTTACAAATTTATGAAAGTATTTTTAATAAAATTATATAAAAAATTTTATTAAAAATATTTAAATAAATTTATAAATCAACGTATATTTAATGTACAGCTCATCCTAAAAGACACTTTCTTGAATCTGAACTGCAATTGAATATATCAGCATGCGGGTAAAAAGTAAAAACGGCTCACTGCTACAACTACTTGCAGTTTCACTTGTCCTGGCATCAGATAACAAAAAAGTGAAAGATTTACATATAAACTCAGGTCTCAGGATGCCACAGTTAAGAAGATACACCAACAAGATCTCATTAAATTGGTAAAACAATTGTCCGGGAAGTTTCATTACAACGAACTAACTGCAGCAATTCCAAATGTCGACAATGGCAGAAGAGAAGTCAGCCTCTTTCTGCTCCTCTTTTCTCACTTTGTTTCCCACATGTTAGGGATCTCAACCCATAATATTTCTTGTTAGATTTTATTGGGCAGCTCAGCACCTCAAAAACTGTCACAGGGTTTGTTTCACAGGTTTCTGGCCACCTTCTCGTACAAATCACGAGGCCAGTTCTGATGCAAATTATTTGCAAGAAAGGCTGCGATCTGCAAAAGCCAAGAAACACAATATTGAAGCCTCGATAGAAACTATCATATTCAGCGTAAAACATAAGAAGCATGTAATTATAAAAACATGCCAAAAGGAAGGTAAACACTCGCTCACCCCAACCATTTTTTTTTCACTTCAGTCATATTCTATCCTTGCCTTTTATAACCCAAGGCAAATTAATGAAGTGATCAGACTAAAAATGATGGAAGGATAAGAAAGTATGAACATTAAATGTTAGAGAAGAACTTAATTCTCATAAAGAGTATGAAATGGTATTTTAGCAAGACAAGAATACCTTTGCTCTCATTGCACGGAGTGATCCATCAGTGTCAGTGACATTTTCAAGACATGTTAGAGCAACCTTTAGAAGGTCAGGTACACAAGCCTGGACATGAGGAGATAAATTCTGAAACACATTAATAGCAGTATCTGGTGCTCGTGGATCTAGTGGAAGGAATGGCAGTTTAGCAATCTCCTTTAGAGCATCAAGGTAGTGGCCTAGTGTTGCCAACTTGTGGATAGACAATATTGCCTCCAGCTGTCTCAAAACAGTTTGTTGCTCCAGGACATGCTCCCTCTCTTGGAGACTGCACATTAAATCCAAGTGACCTTAAAGTATGTTAGATTACAAACAAAAAAATGCTGGAAGTGAAAACTACTTGACAACACTCTGAACCACATAAAGAATTCACAGTATGCATGTTGCAGAAAAGGCAAAATCTGCTGCCGATTTGCAAGCTTCTTACAAATCCTAGGAAGGATTTATTCACAAAATGCACAATGAACGTGCAACATGCAAGTGTAAGTCAGATGCATATAGTAATTTTTATGATTGTCATGCTTAGTAACTTAACCTTAATTATAGATACCGTATCACTGATAGTTAGAGATATACTCTATTGATTAATTAGTATCCATCATAGCAATGGTGAATTTGCAAGAAAGGCTGTTCAGACAGTTTTTCCTCAAACTTCAAAAGCTGCCCCTGGGTTGTAAATTTCTATTGTACTTATATTATATCATAAATTAGGAACAATATTAAAAGCAATACCAGCAAAATTTAATGAACAAGTAATGGCCAAAAACATGAAGAACAAGTAAATGCCTAGCATTGGACAACCTGACTTCAGGATAATATTTGTAGGTCTCCAAAATTTCATTGCCAGAATGGATAAGGCCAGCAATACGACTTTCACCATCCAATCTACCACGCCACAGGGCACAAATTGCTTCAGAGAGGCACTTGTTTATTGTATCCAATGCCATTGAGAAAGCTCCAATTCTCTTCTGAATTTCAATTGACTGAAGACAACGAAATAAGTAGTTTTTAAAAAGAAGAGAAAGATGAATAATCTCAAGGATAAAATATTTTAGCAAAACCAGTAAAATAATCAAATATATGGGGATACAAGACAGGTGAAGAAGACCATAGGTAAAGAAGAATTTTAAGGGACATCAAACTGCATGATAAGTTTCTACATTGACTGCATCAAATATCAAGGTCAATGTTTGACTTGTAAATCTACACGTGAATGTCAATTAACGATAAAAGCTTGGCTTAACAAAAGGTTTCAGATCTTTAGCTTAACTAAAAGAAGGGAAGGAGAGAAAAGTTTACTTTATCATACAGCGCAGCTTCCTGGCACTGGTGAGAAGCTTCAAGCAGGAATTGTTGTCTTGCTTTGCCATCAGGCAAAAATCGCCCCAATTCACCTTCCCCTCCGGCACCTTTTGAACCAAGTAGAAGATAAATCCCGCCATCTCGTAACAATAGTTCAGTAAGAAGCTGCTTCAGCATCAGAGTCCTCTGCCTCTGCTGATCCACATTACCTCTTCCAATCCATGACAAATGTCCACCACCAACTGCAGCAGCAGCTTGTGCATAATATTCCAGTGCAGTTTGGAGATTTCCTAAACGTAAATACATTGAGCCATACTGCCTGATGATGCTGGATGCTTCTGCATAAACATCCATCACTCCCAATTTTTGCCCACTTCTGGCACCTTCAGAAAGGACTCCATGGTCTGCTAGGACAATTGATATGTGGGCAGCATCAATGTTGTATCCTTCATCTCCAGCTTCTTTAGACAAGTATAAGACAGCTGGTAGCAACTGGATACTTAAGAGCAAGACATAAGGATATACCAGAGGGTCCTTGCCATTCTTTGTGTAATAAGATGGATCAAATTTGTTAAGGTAAACCTGCAAATCTTCCAAGCTATACGGTAGTAAGCCCTCATTTGCAACAAGAGATGAGGTCCCACCAGGGGTGTCTCGTACAGCTGACAATTTGAACCACAAAAAATCTTCTATGGTGTTGAACAATGATGGAAGATCTCTCAATAGGCGGTCAATTTGCCTGCGAGAACCAGACACAATTGCATAAAGTAGTAATTTCTTCTTGTCGTATGTTGCTCGACCTAACCGATCACCCATTCTTAGCATCTTTTCACATTCCTCCGCAGCAGTAGCTGCAATATCTGCTGGCACCAAACCTCCATTGTTGATCCACTCTGTAAGCTGCAAAAATGAAACTGATGAATAATGCCAATTATTGATCATGAAGCATTAAGTAGCAATCAATCAGTACCAGGGGAGCAAACTGGTGTGAAACACGGGATGATAAGGCAACATTTCTAGCTTCCTCATAATAGCCAGTTCTCAAGCAAAAGTATATCTGTTGGAAGAAAACAAAAAGTGACTCAGCACGATTATCTGGTTGGCAAAATAATTTGCAATTTAAAAGGAATAAAAAGCTCAGAAATCTAATTAAGATATACACTTCTACTTCAAACAATTCCACATTGTACATGTGTGTGTCTGTGTGTGTCAAACCTTGCAGATCTATGTATAACGAATGCCTAACATGCTATATAAAACTTAATTTCAAAATAATGGTTGGCCAGGCAAAACATATATGTAAAAGCCAAACATTAAATGTTTTACAGGTCAAGAAATAAACTTGTCCACTTTAGAGGGAATACAAAGCTCAGAAACCTAGTTGAGATATACACTTCTACTTCAAACAATTCCACATTGTACATGTGTGTGTGTGTGTGTGAAACCTTGCAGATCTATGTATGATGGATGCCTAACATGCTAAATAAAACTTACTCTAAAAATGACGCTTGACCGGGTAAAACGTATATCTAGAAGCCAAACATTAAACGTTTTACAGGTCAAGCAATAAACTTATCCAAAGATAAATGGAAGACAATAGACGTGGGAGGTTATTAACTAGATATGTTGTTTGACTTGGAAGGCAATTCAACTTGAATACAAATAAGTAACAAAAGAAGCCAAATTTCTTGAGACAAAAAATTATCCACCAAGTATTGGAATTATAAATCAAATATGAACTTGGATTATTGAACCTGCTGCCAAGTGGTGTCAACTGGAGGCTGCCTACGTGCATCACCAGCATCAAAATCTAGGACTCCATAATCCCTTAAACGTATCTGCAGGCAAATGTGAAACTAACATTCTTAGAAGAAAGTTTAGAGGAACAGAGTCCCAAACACAAGTTAAAGATGAACACCAAGGCAGACCCGAAGAAAGGCATGAACTCTCTGCAAATTTCCAACAGCTCCACCAAGTGCAGCCTATATTAAGAAAGAGAAGAAATCAAGACAGTATGAGCATTGACAGAAGCAGTAAAACTAATTTACAACCATTACTTTCTGTTTATAGACGCAAAAGCTGAGGACTAGCATTTCAAATCAATAACTGAAGCAAAACTCATAGGGAAAGCAGCAATTAATTAAGAAGCACATGGAATAGCAGCAGAAGCACTAAATTAAGCAGATCAAAATAATACTGTACAGATTATTACTTGTGCAGGATGACTTTTAATTGTATCCATGATATATTTCTCATGTCCCCATTCCAGGTGGTGCCTTGCACCAATTATCAATGACATCCTTCTTGACACACTTGGTTGTGTTGCAGAATCTTCACTGGTTAATGTCTGTCAAATAGATTAAGTTCAGTAACAATTATTTATAACTACAGAAAGAAGCACAAAAACAGTAGCATGTACTATACCTGAATAAGGTGCCATATTTTCTGCAAGTTAACTGATTTTCCACCAGATGTTTCAATGCTCAAACTCTCATAAGCAACCTTAAAGGCTGTAGCAGGCTACATAAATACAAACAACAACAGATCATAAGTTAACTAAGATGCTAAATTAAAAAGAGGTGTGCTGAATGGTAATCAGCATGGGGGAACTTACACACAAACTAGAACTCTATAAGACATACTAACAGTTGATAACAATGCTGAACCACCTACATTAGTCAACTTACATGTTGATGCCAATGACGAAGGAAATCATATATATCTTAGGATTTTACTATAGTTATGAGTTCCCAAAATTAATTTGTAGTATTTATCTTGTAGTTTATATTTTAGGTATTTAATATCCTTTAATAAAGATTTAGGAATTAAGTCCAATTAGGGTTTTAGGATTTCTACATAAGCATAGGTAGTATTAGGGTTATTGAGAGTTGATGAATAAGAATTGAGTTATCTTCCAAAAATCTCCCAATTCTGCAATTTCTCCTCACCCTTGCCTCTGTTCCTATTATTTTCTCCTCACCTTTGTCTCTGAATCCCTTTGTTCTACATCACATATACTTTAATCACTTGCAGTCTATTAGAGTAAGAAATAAAATGATGCAGGAAACATCCTTCATATTCTAAGAAAGAAAAATGTCCTTACTTTAAATGGCAAACCTCGCTCTCTTGCATTGTTCATATTCCTCACTACTTCAGCATAGACTGACATCTTTCTCTCCACAATCGGCTTATTAGCTGAAGGTACAAGTTCCATGCTAAGGGCAGGAGAAACCTGAGGACTAGAAGCAATGGGCACCATTCGACCTGGGGGAGTGCTGCCGCTACTTTTGTCAATTATGTTAGTCTTGGGTAACATTGAGATCCGGCTTAAGCTCTGAAGGAAGTCTCGTTTTTCCTTTTGCCAATCTTCCTGCAAGACGATAAGACACCAGCTCAATTAGATTTAAAAGAAAGAAAAAGAAAAGGACTAGAGTTATTGATCCCTGCTACTATCATAGTTACTATTAATTTATATATATATATATATATATATAGTAGAGATCCACTTACACACAAGTCTTATAGACAAGTCTAACACACTATACTTACACAAAATCTCAACCACACTTTCAACAGTTGAGATTTATTCACATTTATTAAAAATAATTATTTTTTTGCATCTAAAAAGTCATAATAAATCTCAACCATTGAAAGTGGAGAGATTAATGATCAAGATTTTGTGTAAGTGTGATGTGTAAGACTTGTGTGTAAATGGATCCCTCCACACACATATATATAGAGAGAGAGAGATTTTGAGGCAGCACTAAGTCATTTTAGCATTACACCCTCCAAAAAATTAGTCAGTATAATTTAATTCACCTAGCTCTAGCAATATAAACCTCCAGAAACCAGAATACTGTTTCACTTCCTCAGATAATCTTCAAAATGAAAAAGATAAAGACACTAGGAGGCAAGAATAGATTTCTCAGACCTACTTGATACACCGGACATTTACAACATATTACATTAATAATAAAAGTTCTGATGCTCCTTATGATGCAAAGGAGTTTGAGTGGGATTTAGAAGTTGAAAAATAAGAGTACTAGTAGTTTTCCATGAACGGGTTATGGCCACACTAACCTCCAGAACCTTCATCATGTAATCATTAAAACTTCTAACGTTATCCTTTTGAGCTTCTTGGATGGCTGACACCATTGCCATTTCATGAACCTGAGTTGAAAACATTACATAAAATATGACCATCAACCATACTCTAACATAAGAAGCAAGAAGTCAAGAAAGAAACATAAGCACTGAAAGTTTGCATTAGCAGCTGAATGATTTAATGATACACACCTACAGAAAGGATAGCACAACTATACCAGATGCAGAAATAGTTGCTCAAAATACAGAATCAATAATCTTAAAGAATAATAAAAGCGACTTTATGATGATCACAATTGAAATTGTGAGAGATTAACTTGAACATGGAATAATGATCATGAAATGCTAGGCCTCACATAAGCATTAAAAGCTTATCCTTTTTGGCTAAGCTAACAAGCATGAATGCAGCTTCCTCCTTAGTAATTTCACCCACAAAAACTCAGCTTGAGCCTTGAGTACTACCAAAATTCAGTTAGTTACAACATTCATTCATTAATTTAACTTTTAACAATTCTTCAAAGACAAAAATCATCACAAATCAAGCACCAACCAGCATTGTGAAAACTATAATCAGGACAATCACCTACTATAACACTTTAAAGACATTATGAAGAGATACTAAAGGACAGATGATGAGTAGACTTATGCACTTCTACCTATACATCAGAACATGGATCATATAACATAGTTGATTTTTGACAGTTTCAATGAGAAAAATATTATCCTATACTATGCATAAAAATTGTAAGAAAACATGAAGGCGTATGATATCAGGAGGTGAAAGATCATTCACAATGGCAAACTGTCTACCAAATTACACACAGACTAAAGTATGTTAGCCCTATTCCATCTCATGCTAACCAGTCAAAGCCAGAATTCCCTTATCACTTCTATTGCAGAAATAACCTGCTTATCTATCCAACAAAAATGTGATAGATATGGAAAGACTGAGGTAGGAGTAATAGGTAATATCAATCTAAAGCATCTGTTATCACTTAGCAATAAATCTAGACAGCAGAAATTACCTGTTGCAGATACTCTTCAACACTTGTTGCCTCGGCAGGAAAGACATCCTCAAATGTTGTCTTCAGAAAAGGTTACAAATAAGAAAAAATAAGCCATGGGATTACAGTAAAAGGGAAAGCAGAAATATCAAAGAGAAAGCAATATCTGGTATTTTCACAAGTCAAAGCATGCATCTCACAGTAGAAAGAAAAGTAGGATTTAAACAATATAAAAGAAAGCAACAAAAAACAACATTGAACTTCAAAAGAAATCATCACGACAACCCATCCCATCTCATATGCTAAAAATATATAGCCACTTGCAAAGAAACAAAACAGGTGAAACCATTCCGAAAATATTTTAAAGTTCACTGGATTGCAACCAAGACTTTTTACCTTCAATTCAAAGGACTTCAAATCACGCGCAAGCTGCTCAGCATTCAATCCTTCACGTGCAAGAAGCCTTCAAATACAACAAAGAGTAAAATAAATGAAACTACAAAACATTGATGACCAAGATTATCCATCCCTAAGTCCAAATATAAAGTCCTTTTAGAAAATTCCCTAAAGTCCCTCCTTGCATTTTTTTCTCTCCCTAATTCCGAGTTTTACATGGCTTCCTTTAAAGCAAGAAATGATAAAAATCACCTTGTGGCAGCAATAGATTGAGAAGGAGCCTCAGTTCTTAAGGTTTTTGCTTTGAGCTTCTTCGAGAGCGCCTCCAACTGATCTAAGTTCCTCTGAAACAGATTCAGTTCATAAAACAACAAACAAGAAAAATCAGATAAACATATCCTAGCTCCCTTACACTTGAAAATCCAAGTAATCAACAATTTCCTTTTCCTGAATTTTTCCAGGAAAGCTTTCCGAACGGTGAGAAAAACTGGCTCACTCTTGTTTCTAAAGAAACCTAAAGCTCGACAGTTCAAAATTTCTGCTGCTAGGATCGCCATGGAAACACAACGAAAGTATGGGGGGGAAAAGAGAGAGAGAACCTGGAGAGGTGGGAACTGAGCAGACGGAGCAGCTTGTTCGAGGAGCTTGGAGGAAGAATGGAGGAGATCGGTCCAGCTACCTATGTCTTGCTCTCTCGCCATTACTGAAACGGTGTTTTTCTCTGCGAAAGAGAGGGAAAGGTGGGGTTTAAGGTTTTTATATTAAGCCCTAATTTTCGAAAAACGGTAAACACAGGGACGTGACTCGCGACTCGTGACTCGTGAGGGTGAGGGTGCACTGAGCCGCTGCACGGGTAGGGATGAGCATTTTCTGTACAGATGGGTATAAACTATAAAGCCTATTTGGGTTTTTTTTTTTCAAACGGGATTACCTTTTTTTGGGAAAGGTAAATGATCAAATGAGGATTGGCGAAAGGAAATCAGCTTTAGGAGATAATCTCTCACTAATTTAAAATCAATGTTATTGGGCTGCAGCATCAGGATTAGAGCCTATTTAGTATTTGATTTAAAATTTTTTAATACTTGATATTTATTTAAATATTTAAAGATTTATATTTAGTTTTTAATTCAATAAATATTAGGTCATTTATAGATATATATTTATGTATTTGACTTACTAAAAAAAGATTTAATATAAAATATTATTATTATGTGTATTATATATTTGACTTAAAATTCGATAATACGATAATTATAATACGACATAAAATCATAAATTTATAATTTTACATAAAAATATAAGTATTATTAAGTAAGTAGATGCATATAATATTATGAATAAACTTTTAAATAAAAAAATTAATTATATAATGATATATCATGTTACATATTTACAATATTACGTGATATTGTAACTATAA